TAAGTCTTTATCCCATCTTTATCTTAAAAATGAACATAACCCACTATTAACTACTTTAGTCTCATCAACAACAGTCCAGATTTCTACTGCAGGCAGTACTAACATTTCATGTTTTATGCTCCGCCTTTATGAGATTCCATCTTTACATCAGCACCAGAATACACCCTGTTGTCTCACTAACAGCAACACAGGTTCTAGAAGAAGCAAGATGAGGCTAATCCACTGCACAGTTCCTCAAATATTCCAATATGAAAAGCAAAACAGTTCCAAATCTACACATTAAATATTAAAACAAACCCTTCTCACACATTCTCTGTGACTCTTCAGGTGCCTTCATGGATTATAAGCAAAGAACTAAGCCTATGGTTGGATGAAGGAATCAAAGGCAAGTTGCTACAGAGATAACAACACAGCCTTATCTGGACTACTGACGAGAGCCAAAGCATGGACTCAGCCCAGTATCTACCAACAGATGATCAAGAAAATGTGAAATATATCAGAAATGCATCTTATAAATGCACACATATGCATGTAATGCAATATCTTCTCCAGCCCATGCATAAAAATGAATTCATATCATTTGCAGGGAAATGGCAATCACCACAACAAGCAAACTAAGCCTGACTCAGATGAACTGAATGACCTAAAACTGAAGAAAATGTATTTAAGAGAAGCAGAGCAGAGCTGAGGGAAGCGGAGATGAAGGCAGAAGGGAGGGATGTGTGACACTGGCACAAAGGAACCCAACACTTTGTAAGCTGAAGTAAGCAAATAAAAAGTTAGAGGGAAATGAAAAAAACAAACTTAGGGTTTGTTATATTGTTATTATAAAGAGTCAGGGAACACTAGTTAAATACAGATGGTTCCGAGGAGAAGCCTAAACAACTCATAGGCTTTAAAAGACCAAAGGATTTCCTGAAGAGGGAGGAGGAGAGGGAGGGGGGGAGTGGGAGGGTGTTGGGAAGAGGGGCGTAAATGGAAACTTTTATAATTTAATAAAATTACTTTCAAAAAAAAAAAAAGACCAAAGGAACACTCGCTGTGGTTCCCTTGTTAGGAGAAATCAACTCAGGAGAAAACATCACAGCAGATACTTGTATTTCCAAAATGTTTCCCTCACCCATTGATAAATTATTTTCGCAGAGTTAAAATAACAACAAATAAATATTTAAACACACAAACTACATATCCATTTGCTGCGGGTTAACAATAGTCATTTATAAAACCTAAGTTAATAATAAGAGCGCCAGTCCTCCCTAAGGCAGAAGAGTTGATTCTGTTTCTCTAAGAAGCGTCTCTTTACATTTTAAAAGAAAAATGCTAATTCAGGTAGGCAACAGATAGTCACCATGGTGAAATTTTTTAACAGTTGAACTATCACTGGTTAAAATATATTATACTATTATAAAGCATATATGAATAAAAAGCACGTTCCAGTGGCTGGTGAGGAAGCTCGGTCTATAAATGCACTTTGTCACTAAACCTGATAATCCAATTCCATCCCTGGGGGAGCCCCCACAGTTAAAGGAAAGACCTATCCCTGCAAGTTGTCCTGACTTCAACACATACAGTAAGGCACATGCGCATGCACACACACACACACACACACACACATACACACACACACTGAATAAATAAATAAAATTATGTTTAAAGATTTATTTAATTTTATTTGATGGGTATGAGTGATTTGCCTGTAGGTATATGTACCATGTTTATGCATGGTGTCCACAAAGACCAGAAGGGGGCATTAGATCCCCTGTAACTATAGTTACAGATGGTTTTGAGCTGCCACGTGTGGGCTGAGAACTGAACTCAAATCCTCTGTAAGCACAGCAAGTACTCTGGAACCACTGAGCTATCATTCCAGCCCCAATAAAATGTAATTTAAAAAAAAAAAAAAGACAGGAGCCGGGAGGATGGAGAAGCAGCTTGGCTGCTAAAGTGCTTGCCATGCAAGCATCAGAAACTGATCCAATTCCTAGCACCCACGTAAAAAGCAAACTTTGATGTAAATATCATAACTGTAATTTCAACCTGGACAGATGGAAACAGATGAATCCCTAAGACTTGCTGGCCAAGCAGCCTCCAGATCCCAGTGAGAGACCTTGTCTCAAAAAGATAGACAGTTCCTGAGGAATAACACTAAAGGGTGTCCTTTGACCCCCTCCACACACAGACACACACACACACACGTTAGTCCTCACATATACAAAGTAACACACATCCTCACACACAACATAATAATTGACCTTTTTTAAAAGATGGACAATTTTACCATATACTTTGAGGATTTGAGGACAATAAACAAAAAGATGCAGGTAAATCATTTGGTGTCATAGTAACACAGCTTACAGCATCTGATCTTACAAACAGCTGTCAGAATAAGCTGCCATCAGAATCATTCATGAAAAACTCTGAGCTGCCTGTCTCCTGATAATTCCTAGGCAGTAGAAGAAAATTGCTGCTATCCTGAGTAGTTCGAACATAGAGCAATTAGTGCCATCATCCATGGACAGGTCGGAATGAAAAAGCCGTAACAACCAATTGTCAGAACAGAACAAGAGCTTCAAGAAGCCAGAGAGGGAAAATTAGACCAGGCTAAGGAAGAGCCATGAGCAAAAAGACTCTTGCTCTCCTAAGTCTTTTTTCTAAGAGTGGCTGGAGACACTGGAGTGGCTGTTGGTTTGACCAGTCACCCCAGAGAGTTCAGTAGTGCTCAACTTTAGCTGCTACCATCAGTGTGACAAAGTAGGACCGTTTTCTGTTTCTAGTGAATAATGTCCCAGTTTTACACAAACAAATTCTAAAGCAAAAAATTCTACTATTAATAAAGTAAATAACCTAAAACAGTTTGTGAGCTTCTACATACATGAAGCTTAAAGCTCCATATTTCAAATACATCATAAGTCATAAAAATCCTGTAGGTGCAAAACATTCATATTTGCTTTCTAAATGAAAGTAGAACAGACTTTTACCAGAGAAGATGTGTTTCCTTGGCTCAATTAGTTTCCAATCACAAACAAATAATAACAACAACAGTTCTGCTTTGTAAGATGAAAGCCAGTCATCAATTACAGTGTGGGAATTATGTAACAATTGATACAGCATGGATATATATAAACCATTACTGTATAAATGTAAATCCTTCTTGTTACAATGTGTACTGCTCCTTCCTTCAAAATGAAGAAATACATTTAACTGGGTTGCTAAAGGTGAGCAAGGGAATCCACAAGAACCTAATGGGCTAGGGCCAGAAGGGTACATAGGCTAATTGCAATCGGATTTCCTTCACTAAGCTGACATACAATATAAAATGTAAACATCTCTTTTACCTTACATGCCTTCTCCCTCAAAAAGCACAGAGAATCTAGCAAAACATTAATAAAAATATTAACTTTATTCTTAAATTCTGAAGTGTCTTTCCTTCTTACACAGCATCTGAACTAAACATAAACTGATGTATCCTTGAATGGCACTTTTTGACATATCTAGCAAACCTGTAAGTATACATATTCTTTAACCCATCCATCTTACTTCCAGAATTCCTCCAGGACTACACAAATACACCACACACACTCCACACTCAGAGAGAGAGAGAGAAAGAGAGAGAGAGAGAGAGAGAGAGAGAGTCACTACTATACTGATTATATTAAAGCAAGACCTTGCCACATCAATACTACAGAATATTATACAGCTGTTCAAAAGTTATAGTAGCTTTATTTCTGACACTGTAATAAAATATCCTGCCCCCACAAAAAGAAGGAAACAGTTTAGGGTAGAAAGGGTTTATTTCAGCTAACAATCCAGGTTATAAGCCATCATAGCTGGTTAAAGAAGCCCCAGGAATTTAAAGCAGCCAGTCACATCACAGGCACAATCAAGCACCGAGAGAAATAAATGGGTGTAAATTCATTTTCTTGCTTGCACTCAGTGGCTTTCCCCTCTCTTCTATAGTCCAGGAACCCAAGTCCATAAATTGATGCTGCTCACAATGACCTGGATCTTTCCACATCAATTACGGCAATTAAGAAAATACCTGAGAGGTATGCCTACAGTCTGACCTGATCTAGTCAATCCCTCATGTATGCCTACAGTCCGACCTGATCCAGTCAGTCCCTCAGGTAAGCTACAGTCCGACCTGACAGAGTCAATCCCTCAGGTATGCCTACAGTCTGACCTAAGAGTCAATCCCACATTGAGATTCTCTTCCTAGGTGACTCCAGCTGTATCTAGTTGACAATTAAACCTGACCATCACAGAGGCGCACCCACAGAAAGTTGTGTGGACAGCAGCAGAACAAAATCATGAGCCTATGTTGCACTGTCCCACTTCTTAAAGACGTTAGATACACGCACATAAAAGTACAAAGTATCTGGAACAAGAAATTATCAAAAGTGTTACCTCTATGCAGTGGGAATTATAGGAGCTTTGAAAGTTTTAGTTTATAAAATAATGAACATAGGGCTGAAGAGATGGCTCTGTATTAAGAGCACCTGATGTTGTAACAGAGGAGCTAAGTTCAAGTCCCAGCACCCACATCAGGAGGCTCATAACTGCCTGTAACTCCAGCTCTGGGTAATATGATGCCCTCTTGTGGACTTTACAGGTTATGTATGCATGTGGTACACATACACACATGCAGATAAAACACTCATAAACATAATTAAATCTTAAAAAATAATAATGGTAATGAACATGTGTAATTTCAAAACAAACCATCCTCAAAATTCCAGCCTTTTATGAGTATTTGTGGCCCAACTTCAGCTGCTCTGTTTAGTTCCTATTCTGAGCTCTTCCTTCTATGACTAAGTCTTTCAAGCTAAGTTGAACCCAGGATAAAAATCTGAGCTCTTTTACTAAATTTAAACTGAAATCAGGAAGGCAACTTTAAATGTGTGCTTGTCCGCACCATCACCTAGTTGCCTTACTTATATTCCCTTCCCCGACATTCACATTTCCATAAGGTAAGGAAACAGTGCAAACAAAAACACCCTCACCTGCTCAATAGCGCCTGCCTGGCCAATGCTATAGTCTCGATATCGCCCAAGCATCTCATCCACTTGTCGAAGGCTCCGACTGGTGTCCTGGAGAAAGAAAATAATCATCCCAAACAATTTTGGCATTGTCAAAGAACCGAAATCAACATTTTGTAAAAGACACTTTGTATAAAGTACAATATATGCCTGGCAACTTGGATATCAACATACTTCATACACATCAAATCACTACAACACTGCAATTTACTTATATATCTGAAGCATGTAATTTACAAGTCCTTATCCAAGGTCCCCTAATAAGTTGGCAACAAAACCACATATTGAAAAGAATCCTCCTCAGAAATGTGTGCATTTTGCACTTCACATTGTTCTTAGAGCAAAGCAACCTGGAGCATCAAGAGTTAGTGGAGAGGGTCATGTGCACAGCAAACTGGAGGGCAGGATGGGCTATGGCGTAAGAACATAGTGTGAGTATAAGAAAATAGTATAAGAAAGGGAAGGGAGGGAGGGAGAGAAGAGAGGGTAGGGAGAGAGAGGTAGGGATAGGAGGAAGGAAAAAGGAAAAGAGCAGAAAGGAATCCTGAAGACACAATGTGCTCAGGTGTGTAAAGCAAAGTGAACCATTAGGTCTATCGTACTCCAGCTAATTCCCCACTCCAGAACTGGATTAAGACAGAGAAAACGTTCCCTTTAATCTCTTAAAAAATAAATAAATACACTTATCTCTAACCTAAACATAAATTTCTACCTAAATACGCTTGGTTTTACATAAGAGATTAATAGAGCAATTTCTTTTGAATATGCCTACTTGCCAATGTGTCTCTTTGGCAGGAAGGTAGAAGGATTCGGACTCTAAACTCCCATTGTTACAGTAGCATAAATAAATTCACAAAAAGCAGGTACTGTTACTCTTATGCAAAATTATTATTCCTCCAACAATTACTCTCTTCCCATCAAGCATACTAACCCAGAGCAATTCAAAGCCAAATTTCCTGTTTTTATGGCTAAATCAAAAGCAAGGGATGAGTCGGCTGGAAGTAATTCCTGCTGGGTTTGTTTTCCACACTGGCTGCCCTATGCCCTATGCCCTATGCCCTTTCCAAACTCTTCCTACGGAAAGCATCACGCTGCTTCCCCACACTGTCGTGGGCACAGGAAGCTAAACATCGGTGTCACCACTTTCACTCCCGCAGTTCTATCCTAAAACATTCAACAACCTATTAGATAGTTCAGGTATCATCACCATGGGAACCAGACTAATGATCCTCATCAATCTCTGAGTCCTAGTTGGTAGAACTCTGCCTACGTGATTTATATGTTGAAAGGGATTCTGGAGATGTGCCCTAGAGTGGAGTTCCTCCTGGACTACCGAGAGGACAAGCTGAAGCCACAGTGTACTTAGAAAGAGGAAGGGTGGCTGGCACTGGGGCTCAGCGGTAGGGAGAGCACTTGCATAGCGTGCGCAAGGCCTTGGGTTAGAACCAGAAAAACAAACAGAAAAAAAAAAGGAAAAGGAAGACAGAAAGGAGGACATAGCCAGCCAAATGCCACAATTGGAAGAACCACCATCATAGCTGGCTTTGAGAAAATTCCAAGACAAGATACATGAACAGCTACAAAGGGCAAAGGAAGAGAATTTTCTTTCTTCGGACCTACAGAACTGTGAGACAGCAAACTTGGTTGTTTTGAGACAGTCACCTGAGGGTCATTTATTACAGTACTAAAATAAAACAATATACAGACTGTAACCATTACACAGCTCAGACTACTTAAAAAATCTATCTAAGGTAACCACTGTCAAACTAACCTGTAAAGTACTGGTGATAGTGTTGACCTTCGCGGTGACATCTACTGTAGGATGACTACCAGTTTCTCTGTGGACTGTCCTGGTTGCCCATCGACTCCATCGGTCATGATAGCGGAAGTGGTCTGAATCACTGGATGACTCTGCCATCGATGTATACAAATCCTTCAAAATAAATCCAAGTCAGTGTCAATTAAGGAATAAGCACACAAGTAAGGAACCCACTCCTGACTTTCTGGTAGTTTTAACTATTACATTAGTCATCCGGCAAATAGATACACAAGAAAACACAGAGGGCCACTTCCCATGTATTTCTGTTTCCACGGCCTGCTCAGCTCTGAGAAAACTACTCCCATATGGTCGCAGTGAGTTATCAACTCCAAATACCACTTCCTAAGATTTGTGTTCTGCTGTCAGGATTAAAAGTACTTTCATATACAATGTTTCAAAACATTGTCAGCAACTCTATCCATGACAAAACCAAACAAACGTTCTCTGAAGATCTAAAGAGCCAACGAGATGACAATTTTAACCTCCACCACTGACATAAGGCTGGATAGCGAGGAGCAGGGGGGATCCCCAGAACAAGCTAGCTAGTTAACATAGCCAAATCTGCAAGCTCTAAGTTGAAGAGACAATACTACATAGATAAGGTGGGGAGCAATTGAAAAAGGCATGGGACCAAGGGATGTCAACCTCTGCCCTGAACACACACCCACATGTTCACGTGCACCCTCACACATGTGACACACCACATACATATGCAAAGAAACCTTTCAGTTCTTAATAGTAGTCAATACCCTTTCTAAGCTATAAGAATTACCTCTAAACATAAATAAACGACAGATGCCCTGTAGGAACTATAGTAAAATTCCAGTGTGTGGCAGAACAAAAACTTTCCTACACCCTAATTTACAATTGCAGAATTAAGCAAATAACATGATGCAGAAACAATTTTTACAATAATTCATTTATAAGAAGATACTACCTTTAACACCTCCACCAAAATAGAAAGCCCATCTCCCAGAATGTACTTTCAGCACTGGGAATTCTCTAAACATGCTTTTCTCCCAACTTAACCTCAACTGTTTCTCTGATTCATACAAAAAATTATTTGTGCAAGAAAATATTATTTCAGAAAAATTATTACTAGAAGTTAGAGAAATCAAATAATTTAGAACAAAACAGCACTGGAGAAAACTAAGTTAATCAAATCCAAAAGCTTATTGAGTAATATTCCAATAATTTCATCTTCTAGTTAATGGAGGGTTAACTCAGTCTTTAATATAAGCTGCTATAATTTTCCTAAAATCTATACAGACATTTTTTCTGGCTTATTATATACAGTGTGATCCAATTTCTTGTTCAAGACAGAATATTCCCGGTCTTTGAACCTTTATCTTTATTGCAGTTTGAAATGCATAATAGTGTCTCTAGAGACGATAAAGGACCCTTACTGTGAATTTAAATTTTTTTCAAAATTAAATTACAGTCTATCTTCACCACTTCAGAGAAAGAATCCATGAACTGTCCAAGTACGTAATGCAAACTGAGACAGAGAGCTCCTGAACACCCTGCAAGTACATTCATCTCTCACATGCCCACGCCCCTCGGCTTCCTCCTAGACCAACTCCTCAGGTCTTTGCCGCGTAGGTATAAGCACTAGGGTGCCCATGATGGGCTCCCTCCCATACTAGAAAACATGAATGAGAAACTAAAACTGAAGGCGCTGCTTGGCTTTGACTTTCTCAGGTCACAGCTGTTTAAGCCCCCACCCCACCCTCACCCCCCACGTAAAACAGAAGTTCACACACAGATACTCATGAGAATTCATTCTAAGTTCAAATTTGATATAATTAATAAATTCCTGGGGCATTAGAGACATTCTGGGTGTGCCTGGGATATTATTTCTAGATACAGTAAGATTATGAAGACTTCTGGCCTAATAATTAATGGATTAATTTCTTAATAGACTTATGATGACATTGTTGGGATGTGGTAAAGGGTAAGAGGGAAGACATAGTTGGAAGAAATGGGTGAGCAGAGAATTTCCTTGGATATTATTCCATATCAGACTCTTTAAATAAATAGACAATTTGAACTTCCACTTGACTAAGAGTACCTGAAGCCCAAACTGTTATGGTTCTTTGTCACTATTTGGGAAAGCAGTTAAAATAGTTAGTACAGAGAACAATATAGTAAAACTGCATATACACACCCCTAGACCTAATTATCAGTAATGATAAATAACACTGGAACATGCTTGTAACTTTTAAAATACAACATTCAGAACATTATGATGGAGGAACGGGAGAGGTAGGAAGTGATTAGAGGTTGCTCCCTGCTTCTCTGATCTTTCAGGGTCTTACCCTGATATTTGACTCCCGATTTCTACCGATAAAGATTGATTAGATTAACACTTCACATCCTCCACCCTACTATTTCTGCCCCACCCCTCCAAGGAAGACAAACAACATGAGCTCATGTGGAAACCCTAAACCATGCACTGTTAAAAGTATAACACCTGCAGAGGTTTCTCAAAGTCTTACAGAACATGCATTATGACTAATATGTGTTAATAAGTGACCAGCGGAGTATGTGAATTTAACTCTATAACAGAAAATCATAGTAGAACCAGATAAAATTAAGAGAACATTAAATTACCTCTTACCATGACATACACAGAAGGAAAAGTCCTATTACTTACCCCAGCTAGGATTACATACTTTCAATAAGATAGGATCACTTTTTGGCATGAGCTTCCTGGGTGCACTCTAAGCCTTCTGCTATTAACTTCAATTACTTTGAGCAATGAGAGCTGTTCAGACTCCTGCATCTGGTGGAACTCCTGCAGAGTTATCAATATTTAAGAAGGTAAGTACTGAGAAATTGCAGGGGTTTTCTAAAGCATATGAACATTTGGCAACCAACTACATAATTTGTAATACCTAGATTCTACAAATCGTGAAGTAAAAGAAGAATAGAATTATATAAATAAATTACTTTCATTGCTGGTAAAACTGGGCACTTTCTTCACTGTTACTAACAAAAAAAAAAGGTTAAGAATGACTCCCATGGCAAACGTGAGTGGAGGCCTAAGTCTCAGTGCCACAACGCAGGAAGTAGCCATTGTGCCAACGATCCAGTCGTACCAAAAGACACTAATCTATCATGGGCCAAAAACCACTCTCTAGACCTGGAATTGATGGGAAAGGAGGAAAACAAAGAAAACGCTGGCCACTAAAGTTGGCAAGGGGTGTGCACATATGTCAAAAGCAAAGATAGACATGCTAACTCAGACTAAGAAAACCTCACAGATCCCAATTCAGACAAAAAAAAAAAAAACCTACAGGCACCTAAGGGATGCTGAGACTAGGAAAGCAGTCGTCTCCCAGGGAGGAGCCCTCTAATTGGTTATCCAACACCAAGTGGATAGCACTGACATCATGAACATGCAAGCAGCACTGAGTGGACTCAGTAGTTGTTGGTGTGTATGTGTGTCTCTGTATGTATATCTGTGCCTGTGTGTGTGTGTGTGGGTGGGTATGTGAGTGTGTGTGTGTGTGTGTGTGTGTGTAACAATAGCAAAGAGGAGGAAGCCATGAGTTTGAGAGGAGTGAAAATGGGATGAGCAGGACATGGGAAGAGCTGGAAGGAGGAAAGGGAATAGGGAATGAAAGGAAATGATTTGATTTTAGTAACATGTTTTTAAAGCTGGGGTGGATGTATAGAAGTCATGAAAACAATTCTGAGCCCCAAAAAGAAAATGTAGCATACGTTCTTTATTCATCTAACAATACATCGTTTTACACTACATAGTATTTAAGTGTGCTATACCTTAAGATCACTGGCATTAAAGAAGTTACTCCAAAACACCTTCTCCCTGGTGAAACTAGCTAATGGCTAAGAGTCAAAGTCATTTTATGTTGACAAATACACTAAGAATGGTCACGAAAGAAAACAAATATGCAAATCCAAGAAAACACTCAAAAAATAGTCTAAGAAATTGAAATAAACCAAGAGGGTGCCCTCCTGTCCTACTGTTTCCATTAACTGCAGAGAGTTGAGTTTCAGGAGAGAGTACTCCCAAACTCTCCTAGTGGGAATGTGCAAATTAATACAACCTGTGTGGCTGTTGACAGGAAACTATCTGCCAAGAACTGTTTGTACCACTGACCTAATAATTATACAACCAAAAATGACCCCTAAACAAAACTCAACTGAGAATTTGCATATAAAGATATTTATTGTGAAGTTGTACTAAAGAGAACATGAAAATGACATGAATTTCCAACTAAAAGAGAATGGGTAAAACACAGGGCATCCAGTGGGACAGCCATTACTGTACAATGGTGCTCTGCAATGGGACAGCAAATAGACATTAAAAATCCTGGTTCCCAACTAACTTGAGCTCATAGAGGCTCACAGAGACTGAACAGGGACTGGGACTTCATGGAACTGACCTATGCCATCTGCATATATGTTACAGTTGTGTAACTTGGTTCTCATGTTGACACCCCTAACAGTGAGAACAGGGGCTGCCTCTGACTGTGTTGCCTGCTTTGGGACCTATTCTTGCCAGCTTGCCTCCTCCAGCCCTAACAGAAGAGGAGGTACCTAGTCTCACTGCAACTTGATACACCATGGCTAGCTGATATCCACGGGAGGCCTGCCCTTTTCTGAAGAGAAACAGTGGAGAAGGCATGGATAGATGCGGGGGCGGGGGGCAGAGGACTGGAAAGAGGGGAAGGAGGAAAAACTTCGTTTGGTATGTAAAAACAAAAATAAGAAGAAAGGAAGGAAGGAAGGAAGGAAGAAAGGAAGGAAGAAAAAAACTTCTGGTTCCAAAGAACAATTAATGAAAAGCAGGGTAAAGCATGAGTTCCAGTTTTGCAATAAATGTTATATATTATCTAGGTATGCCCACAAAATTACCAGAATGTAAATTTAGAGGCACAGGAATGAGAGGAATAATAAGGGAATAAATATATCAAAGTATATTTACTCTTCAAAGTTTACTGCCAATTTGTATTCTCTTTTTTTTTATTTTCTTATTGTTTTTGTTTTTGGGTTTGGTTTTTTTTTTTTTTTTTGAGACAAGATTTCCTGTAGCTTTGGAGCCTGTCCAGGAACTAGCTCTTGTAGACCAGGCTGTCCTCAGACTCACAGAGATCAGCCTGCCTCTGCCTCCCGAGTACTGGAATTAAAGGCGTGCGCCACTACCACCCGGTGGCCAATTTGTATTCTTTTACACTTTTGTTCTCCTATCTTTTATGAATTCTCAATAATGAATTTATATTAATAAATCATCAGAAGGAAATATAATATATACTTAATAAAGAAACATAAAGATCACCTTCAAAGACAGCAAACTAACAAGCTGACAACATGGAATTTAACATCCTACATCCTCAGAACTCTCTTTCCCTTGGTATCTGCTTCCTTTTCCTGCTTGACAACTTTCTGACCTCATCCCTAGTTCCTGGAACCTTCCCAGGCCAGACAAGTTCATCGTTTCCACCAAGTGAGGAGCCTAAGGACCACGGGGCTGTCTACAGTCCACTTCAGCCACAGAACCCTCACCCTGAGCTGTGAGCTAAAGGACCACCGGGCTGTCTACAGTCCACTTCAGCCACAAAGCCCTCACCCTGAGCTGTGAGCTAAAGGAAACTTCTTTGAGCTGCATATTCTCTTTGTAGTTTTGCTGAAGGGCAGTTATTTTAAAAACTGGCTTACAACCCAAATGCCAGAATGAACATGTACATCAATGTACTGTGTGAAAACATGTACAGACATAGCTTCTTGCAATCAAATGCTGCTCTGGAGAACAAACTGAGAATGGTTCATGAGTGACAGACACATGGTCAATATTGCAATTTGATTCTCAAAGAAGCATCAGGACAGTGTTTCTTTGAGACAGAGTAGATAAACATCTGTGTGGGCCCAGGGAAAGTGCTCATTGTTGTTTTATGAAGGCAAAGGAATAAAAATTAAGTTAAATGAGAAATCCATTCTCATCCTTTTAAGAAATTTCATCATAACACATGATGGCAGCAAGAAGGAACTGTCAAATGTGAAGAACAGCTTAAGGAAACTGAGTCACCAAAATTCTGGCTGAGGGTGAGAAAAGCCCTTCCTTCTGCTAGAAGAAAAACAGAACTACCTGTCTGCACTGTACCACCACCTCCCTGTGCGGCGAAACTTCTCTCCAACAAGAAAATACTATTTGCTTTTCAGACCTGAGCGTGCCCAAGGCTCAAGAGGGGACAGAGATGGGTGACCTTGGATAAAAGTCTATAAAATTGTAGAGAAAGCTGTGTTTGAATAGCAGCTGGCACAGTTCTTAGAATAGTTTATTTAGCTGCTCCCAACACAACGATACTTAAAGATATAAATATTGTTCTTTCTGCCTTAATGAACCTTATAAAGAAGACATACAACCACTAGAGCAAGCAATGAACCCTCATCAATTCATGCCATCTAAACAAATGTCCATAAGCAGCCCTGGACACTGGGACCAGAGAAGACTGCATTCAAGCCTTGTAAAAAGAGGACTGAAGCGAACCTTTATAAACTCCAGTCCACCCCTGTTGTTATTTGACCTAAAGAGCCATCAGATGGTCTCATTGTAATGAGGCACATTTGTATGTATGAGAGCTGTGATTTATTGATTCTCAAATCTCTTTTCCTCAGAGTCAGTTTAAAACAATTAGGATTTGCAAGCTGTTCCATAAAAGATAAGCACCCAGCATCAGGGGTGATATTTCACAAAGCCTGACTAGAGCATGTTAAGTGGGTGATTGGCTCTATAGCCTCCATGTGCCTCAGCTGTCCCTACCCAGGGCAACTGACCTCAAAGAAGATGTTCAAGGTAATGACATTGATAGTGAGAAGGGAAATGTGTTTTAAACTTAATCATCAACCAAATTCAATTTTCATAATGTGTTTCTCCCTGTTTCAACAGCCGTACAACTTGGGGGTGCAGCTCACTCTGAAAGTGAAGGTCACCAAGACAGCAAAGGTGGCCATGTACAAACAACTGTCAGTTGTTCCTTTTTTTTCTCTGCATCAGTGCTTTTCTGTAATTTCACTAAAACCCTTCCAGTAAATTTACCCAAGATCAAAATCAACAGTCAGTCCATCCGCCAGTTCCTGCATGTGCAGGAAACAAGGTACTCCATAAGCATCTGAACCAGAGGACTGAAGACAGGCTCACTCATTCATCCTTGACTGAATTGCTCCTACATTACAAATGAAAGGTAGCCCAAGGATGGCCACCTACACTTGTCCTCACAGAATCAGGAGAAAGATAGGAGGATCCAAAGCTCAAGGCCAGTCTTACCAGCTCAGCAAGACTCCGTCTCAAAAGACTAAGGGCTGAGGATATGGCTCAGTGGCAGAGCAATTGCCTAACATGTACAAAGTTCTAGGTTCAAATCCCAGCACTGCTAGAAAGAGAGAGAGCGATCAAAGATGAAAAGTAGGTCACAGTTCTTGGTGAGAAAGACTGGCAAGAATATTCCATCACAGAGGTAAGCAGCAAGACAACAATCAAGGAGTCAGACCAGAATCCTTCACTCAACATGGAAGATGAGAAGTCTGACACACAGCTAAGGAGATGTCTCAGAGAAACTAACGAGGGTCCACACCCACAGAGCTCTCAGCCTTGTACCAGGGCAGCTCTGCTGTCACCTAATCTGCATGTTGTGGCTCCATAGCCTATGGATGGATTGTTTTGTTGTTTTTTTTAAGAATTCTAATATGGAGGGTGGAGAAATGGCTCAGCAATTAAGAGTACTTACTGCTCTTGCAGAGGACCTGAGTTTGGTTCCCATAAACTATGTCAAG